GTAAAACATTCACTGCTGCTATGTTTTATACAACCACCATTTAAAGAAAAGAGAGCGCTGACTCACACCTATGCTAGTCAGAGCTGTAGCAAAAATTCTCACCATTTGCTATGGCAAATTGTTTAGATGTAGAATTTTGTTACAAGCACTTGTTCATCATTGTGATAAATAAAAGGCAGACAGATATCACTACAGAGAGCTTTTAATTTCCTAAATAGGGTTCCAGTTTGTTAGGTCTCTAAGCTATTGATCTCAGACATTTGTTCTGACTTAGTCCTCCTCACTGGACCAATTGTCATATTATAATCATTTTATGAACTTATATTTATCCTGAAGACTTTACTGTTGGTTAGCCATTGTGTTATGCATTGATTCCCAAGTTCAGTACTTTATTTGTGAAGTCATCCTCAACATTTGGCTGTGTTCTCTGCTATTTTCCCTGTTGCTTGCTTTTTTTTTTTTTACATACTTCTCTACATGTAAATGAAAATAACCATAGAAAACAAGCCCAAGTGCAACTAAAAAAATATGATTTATATCCTTTAAATACTTCTCTGGTCTGTGTTTTTGAACCTTCTTTATATCTTGTCTTTTAATTTTGTAATTTCCCTTAGTTTCTCCAAGCTATTAACCTATTGTGTGGTAATAGTTTGTGTTGCACTGGTTCTTTTTTCTAAAGACATGCTTGTGTGTCTTCATTCCCCTGCTGATTGATTGGATGTGCTGGTTAAACGATCAAAAAAGCTTTTACGATTATAGGACAACTCCTTCTCTTCAGGCACCTGTTAAGTTGTTTGTTGCTTCAAGGAACAGACACTTCATCATGCTTCTGTAAATTATTTCCGCACTCCCTCACCTCAAGCTCCCTTTTCGGCATTTCATTTTATTGAAGTTGCATTTTTGCCGTAGACCTGTAGTTTTTTTAGCGAAAAAAAGCTGGTAGCAACACAGGATGCAGCGGTGCTTGAGGACAATGGCTTATCTTGGAGTAACGAGGTCTAGGCTAATTTGTACCACTTGCCACATCTTGCTACAGCACAACAGCTGAGTGCTTTCAGAGAAAGACTGATTTTCCCTTGGTCATTATCTTTTGATAGATAAAGGGTCTGCAGGTGCTTTTGTCACCCCTTAGGGTGTGGTTTGTAAGATGGAGGACATGTTTTTACCTACTGACATTGATGCAATGCAACCCAGAAGCAAGGGTGCTAATGTCTGTGTGGAGTCCACTCAATCCTGTGGTCTAGTGTCCTCTCCTTGCCCTGGACACAGCCTGAGGAGCCCTATAACCAAGGAGTGTGCCCAGAAACCATAAGTCATTAAGGCCTGTGTTTAGACAGGGCCAGCGGTCATTGTGTTGGAAAATAACATATAGTGTCAGGATGAACACACAAATTAGATTCAGTCCATTCTGAACTATTTTTACATATAGGCCAGAGCACAGAGAAAAGCAAGAGGGACAAAAAGAGATTTCAAATGCAAAACGTTTAGCATACAGCAATTTAGGGTATGTTTTAGCAGTGGTTTAGTTAACAGTTCTTCCAAATAAAAATTAAAAAATCAATCTGAAAAGCTCAGACACAATGTTTTGCCAAAATGTTCATTTCACGCTTACTGCAAGCAAAAAAGGACTAAATTTGTTATTTATCGTGCATAAGTGCAGCGATTTTTGTAGAGAAGTTTTAAATGGCAAAAGTTCACATGTGCTGGGAAAAAAATCCACACTTTGCAATTAATTAAAGTAAATGCTTTCAGTGTAGTTTTTACCACATTTAAAAGCCTGAAACTTGACCATTAACCTCCAAATGGATGTGAAACACCACTAGTGTTCTTCTTCCCCTTTCTAAACACAATGTGCCACCGAAAGGACTGTAAAATGAAATGATGAGTTTTAAATGTCTTTTTTCAGGCAAACTCAATTAGCAGCATGTTTTTTCCTCCCCTTTTGCAAAGAGCCCTGCATTAGCACCAAGGCTAGTTATTATTTCCATCCCAGACATCTTTACAAATCATTTCTTTTTGCCTTTCCACAGCAGCTTCATGTGTGCCACTATGTTCCAAAGTAGACTTCAATTATGAAAGCATTAAAAATGCGGGTGAAGGATTTAGGTACATTACACCACTCAATGACATTTTACTCGCCATTATGTTATTAGCAAAGTGCTATTTGTAAAAAGGACCTTTAATTGTGAAAGTGTTGTAGAAAATACATTTAAAAGAGGCACCATGGCCCTCCCTCTCAGCTGCCAACACCCACAGATGTGTTCACTATGAAAAGCTTGTCATCTCAGCCGATTTGGCCAAAACCCCTCACTCATGACAAGTCTTTCAAAGTATGCACTACAAAATTGGAAGTATGTGGACACACGCACACTTAAGAATGGTGGTTTGTGCTTTTTTTGTATGTCTGTAACAAGAGTTTTAGTTAGTTAGTTAAGCCATATATTTCAAACATGTACAGTTACAAAAATGAACAAAATAACCCCCCAGTAACAACAATTACCCATAAAACTTAGTACAAAACAAGAGGGAAAAAAGTTTAACTAGCATCAAGCTTAATTTCACTCTTTGTTATTTTTTTGTAACCTGTTACACTGTTGCATATCTGCCTTATATTTCAATGATATTCAATGGTAAGCAGTCGTAAGTAAATAATGCTACCAGATTGCTTTTTTACTGTAGCAAATATAATTTGACCTCCAGCTTAGCCAGGTTATCATGGATAACCTGGCTAAACAAAGGTCGATATCATAATAAAATACACCAGGTAGCATGTGCACAGATAACAGAAACCCAGACAGGCTTTATTTAGGGTCTTTGATGAGCAGGAAATGCTGATTGTAACATGCAGTTTTCAGTAATCATAAAGAATCGAGTACATCTTATGCTCTGTTGGGATAACTTTATGTGCTAGATACGTTTTAGGTCCAAAGCAAGGTCCTCACAGAATGTAAATCTTTTAGTTCACAATTTTTTTTTATCTTGACTTTTTTTTAAAAGCAGGGATTTTGTTTACAATTTGTTTAATTCTTCTCCAGTGTCTCTTTTGGCTTTTTTCTATAAAATAAATTACACTCACAAGAAGACCAAAGGTTCCAAAAGTGTACAAGCAGCATTGTGTCTAAAAAGACCAATAATTTATGGTCAAATAACTCAGTGGGAGTTAAAAATGATAAACCATATTTCCATTATAATATTTCATACTAAAACAGCCTTGTTTAACTCAGTACAACAGGCAGAACGTGTCTAACAATTTCACAGAGTTCTGCATTTCTTTTGAGTAAAAAGGCCATCTTTCACCAATATGGCAGAGTAACAGATGGGGTTTTGAGTTCTGTCCTGTACTGCATCCACACTATGTGTCATCTGTCATTACATTCAGGTCATTGTTTGCAGTGTAACAGCAGGGTGACTGAGTTGGTCACGGCTTGACAACTGTCTCTGTTTCACACAGACAGGGAGAGGATACCCAGACACCCTCACTCTACGCACGTCACAATTGGTGTGCCATTATCTGACCTAGTTCAGTTTTCCAAATTAGGACTAAACTGCTGTCCAGAAATGTTGACCAGGACACAGCAATGTAGGATTTTGTTGATGCTTTTTACATGCTGTTCCATCCAAAAAGCAAGGATCTTTTTCATGTAAAAAATGTGCTGTACCCTTTCATCATGAATGTTTTCTATTGGATATCTGCTTTGTGCCATACAAGCTTACAAAGCTTGTATTTCCTTCTAGAAAACAAATGTTAAACCATTATGATGTTTTGTAAGCCAATTCTACTGTATATTCTTGAGTCATATGTATTTTTTCCTTCCAAGAATTCAACACCTTCACAAGAGCATGACATACAACAGATACAGGTTGTAAATGAACTATGTAACCATCCACATGTCGGCATCAAAATTAAGTCACATTTTGGTTTGATATTATTGTGACCCTCCTTTTATCCCTCCCAAAGAACAGTGTGAAGAAGGAGAGAGTATTCCCTGGATTTCTTCCACATTTTGTCACAATATAACTAGAAATTCCAATTTATTTTATTGAGGTTGTATGAGACAGACTAATATATATAGATATAGATATGTATCTATATACATATGTATACACCATCTGTCCTCAGAAGGTATCAAATTAGTAAATGAAGATTAATTATAAAACCAGACTTGCAACCCATGGTAAATCTAGACGAGCTGCACAGTAGATTTTATGATGAGGCGGGATAATATGTTGACAGGAAAAACATAAGTTGTGCAGTCCACAAATTTGACTTGATGAATAGAAAGAACAAAGTCATTGTGGATAGTAAGCCATCAGAAGTCAAGTTTACAGTTTGCTATAACCGACAATTTGTTTAAGGCTGCAAAAGACTTGAAAGTTGCATAAATGTTCACCTTTCAACAGGACCAAGACTACAGTCAGACTTTCAATGAAGTTTGTCAAAGCATAATAACCTTTTGGAAGGAGACAAGTCAGTAGTCTAGACCTAAAAATCTACAAGCCTGGCAGAGATATACTCTAAATGACCTGCAGTTCTAATTCCCACAATCCTGAGATGTTTGAATTTTGATTTTCTTTTGTGAGTGTATTTTAACCATTTGTTTGCTGTTTATTTTATGTATTGGGACTTGTTTTCTTTAGTTCAAACATACAAAACAGTAAACTTCCTGGTTATAATTTGACAAAATATGTAAATGTTTCACATGTATCCATCCCCTACTGTTGACCAATATATAGCCGGGGGGGGGGGGGGGCTGTAACTTTACCCAAAGGGGGTTTAATGGATTATCCGTGGTGCAGATGGATCTTTAGTCTTCTTGGTTAGCTAAGCTGCTAAATAATTTTTATTTGAAATAGTTAATGTGTAGAAAAGACACAAAATGACAATGGGTCAAATGCTTCATTTTATTGGCATGAAATTTGCTTTTGGGTTCCTGTTTGTGTAAAAAAAAAAAAAAAAAAAAAAAAAGAAAAAACCTTACTTATTCAAAAAAAACTTTCACTGACCCTGGTATGACTCGAACATTACCTTCTAATCTGGTGTCGGATGTGCTACCATTACACCAGAGAGTCTTGATATTGGAGACTGAAGACAGGTGGCATTTCTGCAAGAATGAATTTAATCAAAATGATCAAGCAGTGACTGATCCCAGACTTGCATCAACAAGTAATGTGCTTTTGCACAGTTTCTTGTCAGTTAACTCTGAGCATAGTTTTTTGTGGCCATGGTAAAGGAGGGTTGCATATGGAAATTGTCATTTTGCTCGAGATAGATCTGACCCACATACAGAAGAACACTCAGAAGGACAACTGAATCAGTAAAAGGTGTTTTATTTACAAGTAGTGACACAGGAATGTGAACGGTAGAATCGCCAACTGTATGGAAAGAGGGGGAAGAGAAGTGGTGAATACAAGAACTATAATGTTGTGGAATAAACGAGACGTAATTATGATTGACAGTTAAACGGCTTACTAAGTGAGTGTAGTCAGGTCGCCAGGGGTAGAGGTAGTCGGGGCCCAGGTGAGCGTAGCGGAGAAAGCCAGAAGGTTTTACTTGAGCTGGAGAGTTGGTTCTGGTGAGTTCAGGAGTTAATCCAACGTTCAGGTACTTGTGTGGGAGGGTGGACAGGTTACGATTCTGCCTTGGTTCAGGTGACGGAGGAGAACAGGAAGCTGCCAGCTTAATACTTGGAAACGAAATCCACCAAACATAGCTAATCTTGATTGTCCAGAAAACTTCTGGAACTGAAGCCAAAGTCCAACGAAGAATGATCAGTAAGCTCAGGTTTCTGCCTGCGAAGGAACATAAGCAATATCAGCTTAGGAGCAAAGAACAAAGCATAGTTTAGAGGTGGCTGAGCTGTTACCACAGAAGGCAAACACTCTGGCATCGAAGTGCTGGCAGCCTCCTGCTTAAATACTCCTCCACTGCAATCAGCAGATCAGTCGCACCTATCACCCAGCACACCTGAGAAACTCCTGCACCATCTGGAAACTGAAAATAAAAGTGCAGACAAAAACAAAACACACACACACAGAACCCAAAACCCCAACAGAAATAATCTTAATCTCAACAATGCTTCTTCACTTAATTAGCTGGTTTTAAACCACAATAGTTGAATAAGCATATTTGAGATTACGAAGATAGCCTTAAGCCAACTGTTCTAACTATGATGTGAATTGTACCTTTGTGAGGCCAGGAAATCCCTTCAAACCTTTAGAGCTCTTGATTCATAACAAAACTTACAAACATATTTTACCTTACAACTATTTTGCTAACCAAGACATGGTTTCAACAGGAAACCTTTAAGGTAAAGGCAGACATGCCATACAGTCTACAATAATCCTGTCACATCTGTCGTACAGCACTGCTGTTTGGTCTCAGACCAGTCAATCTACCTTAAAGCCAATGGAAAGGCTTTATAATTGGACTTTAACATTTTTTTATAAAAAGCCCATTCGATTTCATCACTGTCACATCTTAAGTAAATATAAATTCTTAAATTTTGGGAATTTTGTTAATCTTAGCTATATAAAGTTGATTTTTACATGTTTGATTAAACTTGCACCTGAGCCACTTTGTAAATTTGTTAACAGACTGGACACCTCCAGGTCAACGAGAACTGCTACATGTGGAAACTGTAAAGTTACATTTTGTAAAGCATCTTTTGCAAAAAAAATATTGTCTGTGAAAGGAACCAACCTGTTGAATGGTCTTCCTGTTAATATTAAGACTTTGACTAGCCTGTCCACTTTTAAAAAATAGGCAATATCCTGGCTCACACAGCAGCAGCAGTGTGGCCATGTCATATGAAATGCATAACTGTATATATGAGGCATACATTTGTTTGATCTTGAGTGGATGTGTTAATTTTATTACAGTGATTTTATTAGTACTAACTGGTTTCTGAAAATTTCTGATTGCATTTATTGTAATTGTTTTTACTTTCTATTTATTTTAACTGTTAAAAGCCCTTCAAGAGACAGGTGCTGCGAATTAGCGATGGCTATAGGCACTATGATACAGGCATCAGATTATTTTGCATATATTGATCTATGCTTACTGTATCTGTCCCTACCAAATAAATAACAATAATAATAATAATACAGAGAAGGCCATCTGTGACTGTAGGAGGCATTTCTTTGAGACTGTTATACGGAACTGATTAGCTAGTCTTGACCACAAAACTTGTAGTAACACGTGGAATTGAAATTAATTTAGAGTGGATCTTTTGCCACAATATGCACCTGTGCAACACTCTTACTTCATAAAACAATAAACGTAGCAGGTGTGTTTTCATGAGGCCATGTAACCCTTCAGGGGTTTTTGGCTTCTGTCAATCTTTTAACATCTTTGACACCAAAAGTTGTCCATATATCCTGATGTGGCTTAAACATGCAACTTTTTGACCTGGATTCAGACACACTGTAACTGCACCACAGGGTCCACTGAGATAGAACCCTGTGGCGAGAAGTGATGTTTCTGCAAGAAAAAATATATGACAAGAAATCACATGATCAAGCAAGTTAATCCTTTGTGCCATCAACAATAAATGTATCATCAGTGCTGTCCCAGAATTTCTTGATGGCTGGCTCTGCTCATCTGTTTTTTTTTTTTTTTTTTTTCTGATTCACCACAGTGATTAATGAGGTTAGGATGAAACCTATTGCGGAACCTTCTGATGCACCTGTGCCAACACTCCTGACTCAAAACACCATTGGCATACTTTGTTTCTTTACAAGGCCAGGTAACCCTTTCAGGTGGTTTATATATATTTTTACTTAGTCACTTACAAGAGATAGGTAAGGCTTAGAAAAACACGTATGGTTGAGAAAGAAATTCCTCATGGCTGACTCTAAAAAGAGAATAGAGAAGGAGGACACTTGAGGAACACCTGCATGCATTTTTCTTTGGAGAGTTTAAAATCTCTGTGTCATTTTATGATGATATCAAATGCAAACTAAGGAGTCTAAGCTTATCTAAGCTTATAGCACAGACACTGTACCATTAAGGAACCCAGTTTGACAGATCCATCAGGACATGGACAGAATTGCTGACTATCCATCAGCATGCTGGATTTTGCTGATCGTTTATTTCTTTATACAGTATATTAAACTCTTTTAACAATTTCAAAAGCTATATAATCACAAAAATTTTTATATAATTAGCTCTGTATTCATTTTACAACCTGACCTAACCTTGTCTAACATGGGCCTGTTCACATTTATGGGCTGGATTATTATGAATGCTGTAAAGAAAGGAATTTTCAGATACAATTTACCGCATTGGTTTAGCTGCGCAAGGTCAGGACTAACACATATCCTTCTTATAATATATGTATGCATAAATCCAATGTTGATGCTTTTTATGTGTTAATGCTTTCATGTGGTTCCCTTAGCATTTTGGGATTGCAGCAGATGATTGCATCAGATTCTCTGAAAATACTACCACATCAGTCACAATTATTAACAAAATCACAGCCTTGTTACTGATGTATAGTTAGCTGATATGCCTGGTATACTTTAATGCTTGTTCAAAATTTCAGTGAATTAAATAAATCCCTTGAAATCTATTTATTAATAAGGAAGTATTGAACAGCTGCTTCAGCTGGAGCTTGAAAGCTTGTAGTCAATAAAATATGTTAACCTTGTGCGTGTGAGGGAGGGATGGTGGCAGAAGCAGAAAAATCTAATTTGTGTAAAGGTTTTTAGTATGTATTCAGTGAATAAATGTACAGTACAAATTTCCACTTCAGTGTCTTTAACACTAAGGAGGCAACATTTTCTTGTCACATGGCATAACGTTGAACATTTCATTGTTTTAATTCACTTGTGACAATCCACCTGCTCTCACTCATAACTCCTCACACCTTCCTGTTCTCATTCCCACAGAGCATTTTTCTTTGTGTTATTGTGCATATGAGTGGGGCTTTTCACAATTGGTTAGGGGTTCACACCTCTCTCAGGTTAGTTTTTTATCTAAAAAGTAAAAAAAAAAAAAATAAATTAATAGATACGCAGCATTTGGTCTTCCCTCCTCCCTCTCTTTTTTCCTGCCTTTCCCCACTCATCTGTCAATGAAAGACACAGTTTTGCCACAAGGCATTGTGTGTTTAGCAGTGGTGCCAGCAACTGCCATTTGGGTGCAGGGCGGCAAGGGGGATCCACCCCTTTGAACTGCTGCCAAGCCAGCCAGCTTGCACCTTCTTTAATAACTTCCCCTGAAGGCACTTCCCTCTTTTTTTCTTTTCCTCTTCTTTTATTTTTTCCCCTTCTCTCTCATTCACTCCCACCCTCCTGCTCCTTCTATTTTTTATTTTATTTTATAAATGACTGCAGTTTTCACGGGTAAAGCTGTGATGCTGATAAGAAAGGTAAGATTGCTTTTAACTGACAGCCTGACATCAAATCTGTGCAGCAAACACTTGGCACACAAATGATTAGAGGTTTAAGAGCACGTCTGGCCCTATAGAGGATTTCTAAAATAAGATTAGGTTTATTTTTCCCCTCTATATTAAATTCCACCCATCAATGTGTTCTTTTGTTTGTTTTGAAAAGGTTTAGTACAAGTGCGTTAAGGCAACTACCTTCCAGTGTGTAATGCTTTACCTTTAAAGAATTTTGTCTGAGTGTTTATAGGCAGCCAAAAATAAATACTGTTAATAATAATTCTACTGCTTTGCAAGATGTATATATATTTTTGTGCCTGCAACTAGAATCTTAAATAATAGAATTTAGAGTAAAATTTAGTTTTAAATCCTATTTTTACAACTATTTCAACTTTATTTTATTTTTTCTCTACATGTTTAACAGAAACTATGATGTCAATCTGAACACTCCACCAGGAGTTGCCCAAAAGCTATTCTTTGGTTTTCCTCAATTAAAGGTGTCCTAAGATGACTTTTGCTATCATTTTGCTATATTATATTGAAATTAAAGTATGTTTGCATTTAGTAAAACCTGCAACTTCAAATATATACATATATATATATATATATTGTTTATTGTTTTATGAGTCTTGAATTAGACTGTTTTTTTTTATTTATCAAAACCTATATCCATGTGCAAAGCTT